CGAAACTGGTGCAGGAACTTGGCGGCATAAAAGGATTTAGAGTCGGCGTTGAAGTGGCGCCGAGCCGCCGTGTCTGCAAGTAGCTTCAGGAAGGTTGGCGCGCATGGGCAGCCATAGGTGTCGACTGTCAACGGGAAAAAGCCAACCGTCTCCGGCCGGTTGGCGTAGTGCTGGATTTTCTTATCCGCCTGTTCCCGTGCCGCCCATCCCCTGCCTTTCTGCACCTCTGGGTCCCTTGTGCTGATGGGGTCCGTGATGGTGACATCACAGACATAAACCACCCCACTGCTTCTGTCCGTCAAGGTAAAGTCGGCGGTTTGTTCCTCGATAGGGCAATGGACGGCCGACTCGCCGTGAACAATGAAACCTGCGTGCTGCGCCATGCTAATGCACGCATCCCGTAGCTCATTGTGGGTGTTGATGCGGTGTTTGCCCAGGCCGCAGCGGAGGAGATGGTTCGGCAGGCGGGGATCGGTGATGGCGGTCTTGTCCGCGCAGTCGCAGATCTTAGGGGTTGAAAAGGGGAGGGCCAGGCGGAATCGAACGGCGTTGGCGAAGTGTACGGGGCCTATCCGTCTCGTGGGTTCAATGGGGATCGCGGTCAGCCAATCGCCGGTGCCATATCCAGTCAGCGAAAACATACGCTGCGTGTGGCCTGAGAGTGGGTTCAGCCGCATGCGCCTGGTTGCCCGGACCTGTACGGCGTATCTGCTTCCGTGCACCTTCAGCCCGAGCACGTGTTGAAGCCTAGTATCAGATCGCTCCAGCCGCTCCTTCTCCAGGATCTCGCGCGCGTCTAGTGGCAGAGCTGCTTCGCACTCCTTGAGCCAAGAATGCATCGGCGTGCTGTCGTCTCTCGGCAGCAACATGTGGTTCTGAGCGATCGTCAATGCATTATCCGATGCTAGCGCCAGGGAGGACAGGAACAACGCCGCCTGAGTGAAACTTGCCGTGAAACCGTAGATCCCTTCAACGAGCGGATCTGTAATGCCGATGCCACCCAGCGATGTGGGCAGCGACGCCTGCTCCCACACACGCGCTTGCTCGGTGCGGCATGTTGGCATGCGGATGTCGCAGGAGGTGAGAAAGGTAGTGAGCAGGTCCCGACCCCACTGGCTCCAGGTGTCGCGGGGGAGTAGGTGGAGCGGAGTTGTTCGAATGAGGTAGGCTACCCGTCTAGAAATGCATCGCGTGAGTAGCAGCGCGGCTACTTGGGGGTCAGCTCGTTCTATAAGTGGCAGCGGCTTCGTCATCTCGGCTAGCTGTTCAGTTAGGAACTTAGCTGCTCCGGCGTCTGTCCCCACGTAGCTACCCAGGAGCCGTACCCCGTCCTTTGAAACCGGCACCCCGGGTGGGAGTTGCGCTTGTGTGACTGCGTTCGAACTCCAGGCCGCACATTTCTGCGGATTATGCGTCAGGCCCAGACGTGCCAGCTTGGCTGTGAAATCTGTGAAAGCTGCTACTGTGCACGAAGTGTCACCCAGGAAGGTGACATCATCCGCATACGCCAAGCAGAGCACGTTGGGGTGTGCTTCTGCAATCTCACAGAGCGTGGGGTGTATTCCTGCTGCGAACAGTAGCGGGCCGAGAGGGTCTCCCTGCCGAACGCCCCGTTCACTTTGCAGCGGTTCGCAGTTGAAATCGGCGTCCAGGAATAGCTGCGACGGGTTACCGTACGTCAGTTTTACAAATGGTAGTAGTGGCGAGAGTCCGGGCTCCTGTAACGCAGTAGCGATGGCATGTCGCGAAATGCTGTTGAATGCGTTCGGGACGGGCATCCAAAAATGCCCTGGCTGCGTGTATTACCGCCTCCGCTCCACCTGGCACTGCCACGCCGTACTGAATTGGCAGGAAATGTTCGCGGGCAGCCTCTCCCATGGCTATCAGGGCTGCCTTGGCTGTCAGCCTTGTCAAACATCGCCTATCGCGATTGGCCGGGCTCCTCCCCCAGGTTTGGCCAGAGCTATGAGCCGTGACGCAGTCAGAATTGATATTGATATAAGGTACAGGCATGCGAGGGCAAGACCAAAGCAAGTAGGCTACTCTAGGCCTAGGAGCTAGCGGGTGAGCAGGCAGTGAGCAAACACACACATAAGTAAACACCCCAGCAAGCTGGCGGCCAGCAGAGCAGCCCCCTTCTACCGCTAGGAGCTGCCACTACAACACCCTGCTACCCCTCTTCCAACCTTCCACCCCTGTCCTCCTCCTCCAGGGCCCTACATCCCCCCTAGGTCGTCTTCCAGCACCTGCCACAAATCCCCTAGGCTCGGCTCCCAGGGGTCCATAGGCGCTTGGGGGAAGGCCGCTTCAGCCGCCAGGTTGCTCTTGTTGAGGAAGGAGGTAGCCTGGGAGCGCTGCAGCATTACGGACCAGCGTTGGCGGTAGTGTGCGTTGAGGCGGGAGGCTGTAGTAGTGAGTGGCCCCTGCCTGAACTTCTTCCTCGCTGTGGCCACGGCCAACAGCCTAAGGAACTGCACTGTGTCAGTAGCTAACGCCCCGTAGGTCTCAACTGCTAGGCCAAAGAACCCCACATAGTCGGGCCGGCCTTCGTATAGTCGGTGTTTCTTCTCGGAAGCTTCCCTGGCTGCCCACCCTGGCGGCTTCCGTACCCTGGGATCCCGCTTCTGGAGCACGGGGTCGGTCACAGTAACGTCAGTGACCCAGGTCTCCGCCGACTCACGATCCTGAAATGCTAGATCCGCCCGCTTGCGGAGGACCGGAGGGGAAAAGGTCGTCGTCTCATGGAAGGTGTTGAAGCCCGCTTCTCTAGTCATTCTCAAAGCTGCATAGACCAATGCATTGTGTGTCCTCACCACATCCCCCCCTTCACCACACCGGAGCAGGTGATTGGCTAGGCTGGTGTCCTTGATGTCAGAGTTGTCACGCTTGCAAGGGCACTTGACTGTCACCGGCAGAGCCATCCCGAGGCGGAAACCCAGGGCTAACGAGAACTGACCAGGGGCAAATGTAAGGTCAGACCTCGTCGGCACTGCGTGTAGCCAATCTCCAGCCCCCACTCCCTTGAGGCTGACTGCCTGACCCCATGTCCCTGCTCCTCCCCCGGCTTGTCCATCATGGTATCCGCCAGCAGCTCTCTCGCCCTCGCCGAGTTGATGTGCTTGGAGAGAAGTAGCTGCAGGTTTCCCTGCCCTTGTGGACCCTCCCTGTAGGTTTGCAGTGCTGCCTTCGCCTCAGCCGGCAGTTCCCCTTCCAGCGCCACTAACACGTTCTCCGCTGGAGGAGGTGGAGCCCAGTCCCTTGAGAGAAAATCCACCGCGTGTGCCAGCAGGTCAGACTCGGGTAGATGCATCTGCAGCAGCAAGTGATGAGCAGCTGTCACCGAGGCGATGTATGCCGCAGGGGCCTCGGAGATTGGGTCAATGATGCTCAACCCCCCGAGGCGGATGGGCAACGTCGCCTGTCGCCACAGGAGGCTCTGCTCCAAGTCGCTTGTTGGGATCCTCAGCTTGGCTGCTGTGAGTGCCGCCCCCAGCAGTGACTCACTCCACGCCCTCCATTCCTCCCGTTCCAGTGTGCAGCTCGGGGTGGTGCGAAGTAGATAAGAGATTCTGCGCGAGATGCTGCGGGTGAGTAGGAGCAGGGCGTGTTGTGGGTGCAGCTGTGCGATGAGAGGGACTGGCGCCGATGCTTTGGTGAGCGCCGCTCGGACCTGTGCGGTGCAGTATTCCGGCGTTCCGATGGGGCTGCCTAGCACCTTGATCCCCTCCGCGCTCATTGTCAACCCATGTGGTGGCTCTGCCAGCTCCCCTTCGCTCCCCCGTGGTCCCCATGCCGATGACTTTGCCACGTTGCACCGTAGTCCGCATTTTGCAAGTTCCGTGACAATGACATCAAAGGCCTTGAACACTTCCTCTCGTGGCCCTACCACTGTAATGCCATCGGCGTACGCTATAATGGCCGCTCCTGGGTGGGTCGATGCCGCGCACATTAGAGTAGGTTGGATGGCCGCTGCAAACAGAAGCGGGCCTAGAGGATCACCCTGACGCACGCCTCTGGAGCTCATGATGTGGTCGACGCCGAGGGCGGGGTCTACCAGGAGTCGAGAGGGAGCGTCGTAGAGCGTTCCAACGAACGGCAGCAGCTGGTGTAGGTCCGAAATCTGTAGCGCGGAAAAGAATGCCTCACGCTCGACCGCATTAAAAGCGTTTTCTACATCGAGCTGGAGTGCGACGTGGTGTTCGTTCTCACGTAGCAGAGCGCGCACCATGTGGATAACGCATTCCGCTCCGCCTGGAACTGAGACGCCATATTGAATGGGGAGGAAAATTTCACTGATAGCCGGTGCTAGCTCGCGCAGTGCCGCTTTAGCTGCTACCCTGAGTAGTGCTTCCCCAATCGCTATGGGCCGTACCCCCCCTCCTGGCTTTTCTAGCGCTATCAGGCGCGACGGGAGGATTAAATCGCGTGTCGCTTGGGTCTGCTCACTGTTTATTAGCAGGCGGATGACTTGAGTGAGGAGCGATAGAACTTCCTCGCTGCAGTGGGCTGGGTCTTTGAGGTGTTCGAAGCAAGTGCCCGAAGGGCCAGCTCCAACCCCATTCGGACATTTCGCGAGGACTTCGCGTACGTCGTCTGGGGTCACGTTCACCGACGAGACAGGCGAAACGGCACGGCTGGTAACCCAGCTCGGGAGTGGAATACCCCCCACTGGGTGTTTCGCACGTAAAGCAGCGAGTGTTGTTGGTGTTGCTTCCGCTAGCGGGGTAATTTGTAACGCAGCCACTGCTTTAGAGATGTTCGCTTTTTTAATCAATCCCTCTGCTCTCGCACATAGTAACGGGTATGGCGCACGCTTCACTGTAGAGATCAGCGAGCTCCCCGAGCCTGAAGTGGTGCAGCCGTGTCTCGATCTTGATCCAGCGGTTCCCTTCCACCGGCTCTGGCAGGGGTCGTAGGGTCAAGCGGGGGAGAAACTGCAGCACCGTCCATGCCCCCACACAGTCTGGTTGTTCCACCAATCGCAGTAGGGGTGCCAGCAGTCATAGGGTGTAACTCTCCAGGATCTTAGGGGGCATCCGACGCACCAGGAACGGTTGGTCCATACGCTGGAGCGGCGAAATATCCCATGTGCTTGCCAGCTGCCAAATGCTGTCGTCCTTCGCCAGGTCGGCAGGGGACTTCTCCGAGGGCTGTCGTGGTGCCTCCCCCGCCACTCCTGCTCTCAGGGTGTTGGGTCGAGATCCGTTTGCTGCTCCCGCCCTCCTCCCTCGGCCTCCGAATCCTGCCCGCTGAATCTCCTCGGCATCCAGGGAGACTTCCTCAGATGTCTCTGAGCGGGATGGCATAAATTCACTCCCGTTCTTAGAGTTGTCAGAAGCTGCTTCCTCCCTATTCGCTGGCACAGGCACACGGTCTGGGCGGTCGTGACGTTCCTGCCACGTGCCAGTCCGTTCCACCGCCGCCTCTCCCCCCAGCATCGTAACTCGTCCCCCTCTGGTGCTTCCCCTTCCGCCTCTCCTTCCGCGTGGCGCACCACGGGCTCCGGTAGTTCCGCCGCCTCTTGCGCCGTCCTGAGCGGGCGGCATACCACGGCCTGCCGGGATCCAAGGGGTCGTTGTTGTTGACGGGCCCGCTCCCGTCGGCCTTCCCCAAACGTTTCCCTGTCCGCGCGTCGTGCTCCGCGTTTCACGGTGAGAGCTGTTTAGGCCTGGGAGGGCTTGTACCGTCGCTTGTTGAGTTCGCCGTGAGTTGTCTGTCGTAGGCCGCGTCTGACGACCTTCTTCCACGTTGTTTGTCCCGCTTGACTCTGGAATCTTCTGTGGTGCAGATGACAACCGCTGCCCTTGCCCTTGTGGCGACTGCCCTTGTTGAGGCCAGCCCTGGAGGGGTCCCGGGCGACCAGGCGCAAGCGTAGATCCGAGCCGCTGCGGTGCTGGTCGGGCGCGGATCCTCACAGTCCTGTCGCGGGTGGCGTGAGCGACGTCGCGGCTCTCAGGGGCCTGTGTACCACTCTCCACCTGGGCGTGCTCCTGCGTCTCTGCGCCCTCGGCAGCGGCAGTCGTTTCGGTGCACACAGCGTCAGACGAATCGCCCGCCGCCCCCTGGTCCTCGTGTTGCACCGCAGCGGCAGCAGGTCCCACCGTCGCCGCAACATCTCCCGCCCCCTCCGAGCCCCCAGGCGTCGTCTCAAGCGCAAACACCTCTGTCACTGCTGCCGCCGCTGGGGACGGAGCCTGACTCTCTTCCTCTGACGACTCAGCCGCAGCCGCCGCCACAGGCATCGGTACCGCAGCAGCCCGCGTGTCCGCCGCGTGTCCCTGCTCCTCCGCCCGCTCCTGTTCCTCCGCCCACTCCTGCTCCTCCGCCGGTGGCGGTACCGCAGAATCCATGGCAGCGGACGAAGCTGAGCCGCCGCCAGCGGCAGCGGCAGTCCCAGCGGCCGCCGACGCCTCTGCCGCCACACCTGTCTCAGCCGGCTCCTCAGCAACAACCCCCCGTGGTGCCGCCGGTGGTACAGGCTCCATCTGCGGGGCCTCCTCATGCTCCAGGGTCCTCTCTGCCCCTTCCCCCCTTTGTCCAGCCCGCTCCACAGGACACGTATCCGCAGCTCTTCCTGGGGGCGCGCCAGATTCCGATACCATCGGAGCTCCTGGCAACTCCCCCGCCACCTGCTGCCAGCCCTGGAGGGTCTCTTGATGGGCGATGGAGTCTGTTGGGTGAGCTGCCGCCCGCTGAGCGGCTTCGTCGCGTTGAGAGGCGCGTAACGCACGTGGCGTCTTCCCTGGGTGTGGTGGCAGCAGCGCTTGACCAACTGCAGTCTTGCATGGCCCGCAACTCCGTTGTTTGCCCGCCGCTGTCGCAGAAGGAGCGGGCGAGTGTGCTGGCGGCATCAAAGGAGCTGGAGGCGTTGCTCCCACTGATGGGCCTTGTGGAAGGCTCCCCTGGTGCAGGTTCTGGTCCTGGGCCTTCCGCTGTTCGTTCGCTGGCTGCTTCCGCCCGGCGAGCACCACGCGAACTTGTACCCGCTGCCGCCTCGTTGTTGCGCTGGCTAGATGGGCGGCTGTATTGGATCCTTGCTGAGTAGCGGCACCCTTCCCTTTGCCGGCCTGCTTGTCACTTGGCACGGTCCTGGGCTTCCCCATGGCGTTGTAGTCACGCCTGGGGGTGTTGTTGGTGTGGTTGTTGCTCCTGCCTCATGTTGTATGGGCTCTTGGTATAGTGTTGTCCCTTCCCTTCTCCTTGTCACACCTCACGCGCGGCCGAAGGCCGCGCTGGCGAGCGGCGGCCGCCGAAGGCGGCCGGCGCGAGCCGCCGGTTTTGGAGAGTGAAATGAACTCACCAATGAAGAATGAGCCCCATGGGCAGAGAACCAGAGGCTTTATACTAGGGGAGCACTGCTGAGAATGGCTAAGGACTAAAGACTAGGCTAGAGAGTATAAAAACGGCTAAGGACTAGCCCTAAACCATCTCTCTCTCTCTCTCTCGCTCTCTCTCGAGCGAGCCGCCGGTTTTGGAGAGTGAAATGAACTCACCGATGAAGAATGAGCCCCATGGGCAGAGAACCAGAGGCTTTATACTAGGGGAGCACTGCTGAGAATGGCTAAGGACTAAAGACTAGGCTAGAGAGTATAAAAACGGCTAAGGACTAGCCCCAAACCATCTCTCTCTCTCTCTCTCTCTCTCTCTCTCTCTCTCTCTCTCTCTCTCTCTCTCTCTCTCTCTCTCTCTCTCTCTCTCTCTCTCTCTCTCTCTCTCAAGCGGTCCTTCATTGATAATAGGCAGGGTACAGGCAAGGCAACTTAGAAATGGCAAAGCCTAAGATGCAGTCTAGGCCTCTAACCAGCTAGCAAGCAAGTGACAACGAACACCACACACTCCTATGGCCCGCACGCCGCTGCTCAGAGCTGCCTACCTAGTGCTTAGCCCTTAGGAACACCTCCTGTCCTCTCCCCTCCACCAGCTCCTCTACTCCAGCCCCCTCACCCATCCAGGTCCGGCCCCCAGTCCAGCTCGTCCTCCAGGACCTGCCAGAGGTCCCCAAGGCGTGGCTCCCACGGGTCGACTGGGGCTTGGGGGAATGCACGCTCAGTTGCCCTGTTGGACTTTGCCAGCAGGGTGTTTGCCTGGCTGCGCTGGAGCATCACCGACCAGCGCTGTCGGTAGTGAGCTGTGAGCTTTGAGGCGACCGTGGTGAGCCCCCCCTGCCGAAACTTCTTCTTGGCCGCCTGAGTGCCCAAGAGGCGGAGGAACCTCTGAGTGTCTTGCGCCAGGGCCCCGTACGTCTCGACTGCCAGCCCAAGCACCCCCACGAACTCTGGGCGCCCCTCGTACAACCCCCTCTTCGTCCTTGCCGCATCCTCTGCTGCCCAGCCAGGACGCTTCACAGCCCGGGTGTCTCTGCGCTGCAGGACGGGATCCGTCACTGTGACGTCAGTCACGTAGGTCTCGGCTGACTCCCTGTCCACGATGACCAGGTCCGCTCGCTTGGGGTTGACGATTTGCGAGTAGGCGCAGGTCTCGTGGACAGTCATGTAGTCGGCCTCCCTGGCCATCCGTAGGGCGGCATACACTAGGCTGTTGTGCGTGTTAGTCCTGTCCCTCCCCTCCGCGCACCGCAGCAGATGGTTGGGTAAGCTGCGGTCGTCAATCTTCGACCGTGGCTTGCCGCAGGGGCAGTTGTCCGTCACCGCCAGGTGTTACGATAAGAATGAATTGATAGAAAATGTGAAGTACAACCCTAGATATAGCAAACCCTAATCATGCAAGTAAGTAGAAACGTAACACCTAGACTAACCTAAACAACACATATAAAATATATGTTGACACACCCCCATAGTCTAGGTGACGGAAGTCCTGTAGAAACAACAAGAGCAAGCAACGGTCACAAGACCAGTCTACAAGAACAAGACAAATCTCAGGGTGGAGCTCAAAGTCACCACACACTCCGAGAGCAAGCAAGGGGCCACAAGGCCAGTCCACATGCAGGTATATAGCAAATATAAAGAGATGCAAGAGTACAAGACATGCAGAACAAGGCATCTCTAAGCAAGCAAGTGAGGACGGGCAGGCACAAGGCCAAGCTGGGTGCAGAAACGCTGGTGGTCACAAGGCGGCAACGCCTTGGTGAAGATATCTGCCGTGTTTGCCTCAGAGACCACACGTCGAACGAGTGCCTGTCCACGCTGCTGCAACTCACGCAGAAGGAAGTAACGAAGCTGGATGTGCTTCGCCTTCCCAACCAGTCGGGGCTCCTCACACAACAGGACAGCAGACCTGTTGTCGGCGAACAAGACTGGGGGAGAGCGAGGCCGCTCACCAAGGTCGGTGAGAAGGAAAGACAGCCAGCGAAGCTCCTGAGCGGCCATGGCCGCAGCGTACACCTCTGCCTCACAGCTGGAACCGGCGACAGACGACGCCCGAGTCGACCGCCACGAAACAGCACCTGCCCCGAGGCTAAAGGAGTACCCCTGTGTAGACCGACGCGTCTCCGCGTCGTCGGCCCACGACGAGTCCGAGTAACCTGTGAGTGTAACTGGCTGCTTCCCTCCAAGGACAAGTCCCATGCCTGATGTACTCGCCACATACTTCGCCACCCTCTTAGCAGCGTACCAGTGGGAAGGTCGGTGTCTCCCAGGCGCAACAAAGCGCGCAAGGACGCTAAGAGGGTAAGCTAGGTCTGGGCGAGTACAGGTCATCAGGTACATGAGACAACCCACCAGCTCAGGATATGGACCACTGGACTCAAATGACTCGTCCGAAGGTGGAGCCGTGAGCCCATGATCCACACCAAGAGGGGTGAGCTGTACCTTGGAGAACGGGAAGCGAAACCGCGTGAGGATCTGCTCGACCATATGCGACTGAGTCAGCGTAATGGTGCGAGCTGCCCTGTCCCTGGTGATCTGCAGGCCAAGGTAGTGCTGCAGCTCACCAAGGTCAGTGCAAGTGTGTCTCCTCTGCAGTTCCTCCTTCACGGAGGCCAGCGCGCGTCGGTCGGGAGTGGCAAACACTAGGTCGTCGACGTAGACCAGGACAAAGAACGGGGTCGAGCCACGGCGAACGAACAGTGACGGGTCAGCAGACGACGGAAAGAAGTCAAGAGCTGCAAGGGTCGAGCGAAGTGTGTCGTGCCACTCACGTGGGGCCTGACGCAGGCCGTAGACTGGTCGACGCAGCTGCCACTGGGTCCCAGGTGGGAAAGAGCCAGTGAAGCCAGGCGGGCGACGCAGCCAGATCTGCTCGTGCAGGCTCCCCTGAATGAACGCGGTGGAAAAGTCCAAGGAGTGCAACTCGTAGTCGCGCTGGGCTGCAATATGCAGCAACACCCGAAGAGTACTCATCTTCGGGGTGGGAGCGAAGGTCTGGAAGAAGTCCACCCCCTCTCGCTGACTGAAGCCTCTCGCAACATAGCGTGCCTTGAACACAGGTGGTGATCCAGGCGGCCGCTTCACCTTGTAGAGCCATCGGCCACTGACGACATTCGTCCCAAGTGGTGGGACTGCGTCGACGTAAGTGCCTGTGGACCTATAAGATGCCATCTCTGCCTCCTCAGCTGCTATCCAGTACGAAGCCCAGGGTCCCGAGACCGCCTCGGCGTGAGTGCGAGGGATCGGGATGTCAAGGGCGTCTGGATCCCCCTCAGGGGCAAGCAGCATGGCGCAGAGATGAGGAACAGCGGCCGCAAGAAAACCAAGCTCGAACTGCCTGTCCTCTACGACCTCCAGGGGAAAGACAGGAGCACCCCCAGAGGACGGAGAACGTGCAGGGCCACTCACCAAGTGAGCGGCGTAGTCAAGGCGGTGGGAAGAGGCAAAGCCAGAGACAATGGTAACAAGTGCTGAGACAGACGACAGAGGTGCAGTCGGGTGAGTGACCAACGCGGACAAAACACGGGAGACGACAGGACGGGAGGCACGGAGGTTTACGGACAACGGGTCGTGAAGCACAGTGAGGGACGACTCAGGGGGCTGTGGAAGGACAGGAGGAGGTGGAACACGAGAGCGGAGAACAAGGTGAAACGGACCGTCTGCACGGTAACGGGACCGACGGGGCTGTGGAGACACAGCACGACTGAGGGGAGGACGACGAGTCCACTGGGAGGAGGAAAGGGACTCAACTGGTGGAACAGGAGGGGACGACAGGGGACCACGAACAAAGCGTGCAGGTGCTGGGTCGGGGAGGTCGCGTAGTCGCAGTCGCTGCTGCTCCGCCTCCTCTGGCGTCTGCTGCGACGGTACCGGCCCCTGCTGCTGCTCCTGTGGCTCCGCCTCTGCCCTCTCATGCTGCGGCTGAAGCTGTACCCGCTGCTGCGACCGGGACTCCTGCGCTACCCTCTCCTGCTGCTGCCGTGACTCCTCCTCTACTCTCTCCTGCTGCGTCTGGAACTGCACCTGCTGCTGCGGGTGGGACTCCTGCTCTACCCTCTCCTGGTGCGGCCGTGACTGCTCCTCTACTCTCTCCTGCTGTGTCTGTAACTGCACCTGCTGCTGCGGGCGGGACTCCTGCTCTACCCTCTCCTGGTGCGGCCGTGACTCCTCCTCTACCCTCTCCTGCTGCGGCTGCAGCTGCACCCGCTGCTGCGACCGGGACTCCTGCGCTACCCTCTCGTGCTGCTGCTGTGACTCCTCCTCTACTCTCTCCTGCTGCTGCTGCTGCTGCTGCTGTGCCCTCTCAAATCGCTCACGCTCCTCCCTCTCCAACCGCAGGAGACGCTGCTCACGGGTCAGGAAACGTACAGTGCGCGGTGTAGGCGCCACAGTGCCAGTGCCTCCAGCTCCAGCACCCCCAGAACCAGCACCTCCACCACCGACACCCCCGGGGCCTCCAGTACCTCCCGCAGGAACACCCCCAGGCTCCGCAACAACCGACCGCAGAGAAGAAGGAGGAGGAAACTGCGGGACGGACGGGAAGCCAGGGGGTGAGGCAGGGCGAGGCCGCCGAGTCGAGGCTGCCGTGTCCTCCACAGGAGTGACCTCCACGCCCACAACCCCTGCACCCCCAGAGCCGACACCACCAGCTCCTGCAGCCCCAGTACCCTCACCCTCCGCAACTGCACCTCCCGCACCCCCAGACACGACAGGGACTGGACGCTGCGGGGGGGAAGACTGCGGAGTGATGTGCGACACACCTGACGGGGCAGGACGCGAAGGGGGGGGGGCTACTGGGGCGACTGGTGGGGGCTCAAGGGTGAGGAACAGCGGGGGGGAAAAGGCTTGAGTACCTCGGTGGGGGCGACTCCTGTAGTAACAGACAGACTCGTCGAACGTGACGTCCTGCGAAGCGAAGAACTGGTAGGTGACCGGGTCGTAGAACACCCAGCCGGAGGCGTCCAAAGGGAAGCCAAGAAAGACGCAGGCACGAGTGCGCGGAGACAACTTGTTCGCGCCAGGGGCGCGAACGTGAGCCAGACAACCCCAGACGCGGAAGTCAGCTGCTACGCCCGGAGAACCTGTCCAAAGGGAGACCGGCGTCACCCTTGGCCGTGCGTCACTGGGCCACAGGTTCAGCTGGTGCGCGGCGTAGCGGACTGCCTGGGGCCACAAGAACTGGGGGGCACCGGCATGGCACATGGAGGTCCGGGCAACCTCCATGACCAGGCCGATGCGTCGCTCGGCTACCCCGTTCTGCTGCGGTGATGCTGGTAGCGTGTAAGACTGGATGATCCCCCGACCCTGACAGAACGTATCCAGGCGAGTGGAAGAAAACTCACCACCACGGTCCGAGTGTAGGCGAAGCCCACACAGGCCATGGGCGCCACCCCACGCTAGTAGCCACGGCTCGAGGACGGTAGGCACGTCGGCCTTCCGTCGCAAGGGGAAAACCGTGGTGTAGCGGGAGTAGTCGTCCACCACAATCAGGAAGTAGCGCTCCTGACGTGGGCCAAGGACCGGAGAGGGGCCCCAGACGTCCAAGTGCAGGGTCTCGAAGGGAGCCGTGGTGGGGGGGAACGAGGAGGAGTGAGGGGCAGCGCGCTGCCGACCCTCGACGCAAGGAGTGCACAGCGGCGCAAGCGAGCGGGGAAGCGGTGCAAGCGACCCTGGGAGACCTGAGACCAGACGGTAACGTGCCATCCTACTGAGACGCGGGAACGACGGGTGACCTAGACGGTGGTGCCAGAGGACCGACGGGTGGGTGAGGGACCGACAGTCATACGACACAGCAGCTACCTGACCTGACCTGACCTGACCCGACTCAGTGTGGTGGGACCCAGTGTGTAGTGAGTACAGACCAGATCCCGGCTCTCTGTGGAATGTGGCCAGGGGCGCCCCAGTGGCACCGACAGTGCAGGAGGCAACAGGCTCGTCCAGTGGGAAAGTAGTGACTACGCCTAGGTCGTGAAGGTGACTGACACCCACCAAGTTCCTAGAGAACGAGGGGGTGTAGTAACCTGTAAGAAAACCTGAGGGAGCCGCCGGACACGGAAGAGTGGTGGTGCTGCTAGCAACTACACGTCCCACAGAGGGGTCAGCCAAGGCGACAGTGACTGGAGTGCGCAGTGGTGTGAGGTCGGTACAGTCGCGAAAGAAACAGCTGGACGCTCCAGAATCTAGGGTGAAGGAAAGCTGTGCAGTCTGTGGGGTCGCACCCGAACCAGCTACAAAGGCTAGTGCTAGACTAGTGGTAGCTGCAGCTTCTACACAAAGACCCTCAGAGGCGCCGGGACTGGAAACAACACACGCACCAAGACTGGAAACACAGGTCTCTACTCGTGCAGCCGGAAAGGGTCCTAGACCAGGCAGGTGAGACTCAACTGGTGCAGTAGTGCGCTGGCGAAGGCGCGAAGGCCAGTGCGGTGTAATAGCGTGAGGACCAAAACGCTCACGGTGGAGGTCGTCGAGTCGACGGTAGCAGCTGGACGCAGTGTGGTCAGGACTCCAGCAGGTAGTGCCAGCACCAGGGCCTGTCAGGGCCCGGTACCCGCAGGGGCCGACGTCTCGCCCACTGCTAGCTGAGCCACTGCTGGGGGCGCCACACTTTGGACTCGCAGGCCCCAACTGACGGGAGTGCTGCGGCTGGCCCTGCTGCTGTAGAACCCTAGTACATGCCATGTGAGCCTATGCTGCTACTGGTTCTGCTGAGGGCAGCCTAAGCTGCTGCTGGTGAGCTGGGGGCAGCCTGTGCTGCTTCTGGTTCTGCTGAGAGGCAGCCTAGGCTGCTACTGGTTCTCCAGGGGGCAGCCAATGCTGCTGCTAGTGCGCAGGCAGTTGCCTAAGCTGCTGCTGGTGCGCTGGCGGTAGCCTAAGCTGCTGCTGGTGCGCTGGGGGCAGCCTATGCTGCTGCTGGTTCGCTGGGGGCAGCCTATGCTGCTGCTGGTTCTGCTGGTTCTGCTGGTTCTGCTGGTTCTGCTGGTTCTGCTGGGGGCAGCCTACGTTGCTGCTGGTGCGCTGGGGGCAGCCTATGCTGCTACTGGTGTAGCTGGCGGCAGTGTAATCGGCTGGGGCTACTGACGGCGGGTGTGGTAGGTCGTGGGGAGGCAGGTTTCAGGTGGGGAAGCTGTTAAGGCAGCGGGCTACGGGTGAGGCGGCGGTTCTGTGCAGTTCTGTGCGGTTATGTGCAGTACTGTGCGGTTCTGTGAGGTTCAATGCGGTGGAGAGGACTGGGTGGGGCAGCTGATTCCGGGTGAGGTGCCTGGAACGGGTGGGGCAGCAGGTTTCCAGGTGGGGCGGCGGTTGTCAGGTCTGGGGCGGTGGTTTTCAGGTGGGGAAGCTGTTAAGGCGGCGGTTCTGTGCGGTTCTGTGCAGTAATGTGCAGTTCTGTGCGGTTCAATGCGGTGGAGAGGACTGGGTGGGGCGGCTGATCCCGGGTGAGGTGCCTGGAACGGGTGGGGCAGCAGGTTTCCAGGTGGGGCGGCGGTTGTCAGGTCTGGGGCGGCGGTTTTCAGGTCTGGGGCGGCGGGTTTCCAAGTTCGGCGGCGGTTTTCAGGTTTGTAATGGCGGGTTTTCAGGTCTGGGGGGCGGTTAAGACGGTGGGCTGCACGTGCGCGCGGCCGCGACGTACTAGCGCGAAGCTGCGGGTGCGACTAAGGCTGCGCGCGCAGCTACGCGCGTTCGTCTGCTGCGCGCTAGAGGGCTGGGGGGAAACGCGCGGGGTAAAACGAGTGGGGCGCGGGGCAGAAAACGAGTGACGCACGGCAAAAACGGGTGGGGCGCAGGGCAGAAACGGGTGACGCGCGATGTCGACGGGGGGGCGCGACCTACTCGGGCTCTACGGGGCAGGGCGCTTCGGGCTATGGGTCGCTACGAGGCGCGCGGGTGGTGGGCCCATAGACTATCGAGAGAAATTTCGCCTAAGGGAAAAAATCGCCTAGGGGAAAAATCGCCTAAGGGAAACCTAGCTCTATACCATGTTACGATAAGAATGAATTGATAGAAAATGTGAAGTACAACCCTAGATATAGCAAACCCTAATCATGCAAGTAAGTAGAAACGTAACACCTAGACTAACCTAAACAACACATATAAAATATATGTTGACACCAGGGTCAGCCCCAGCCGGAATCCGAGGGCAATGGCGAACTGGCCGGGGGAGAAGATCAGGTCTGCGCGCGTGGGGATTGCGTGCAGCCTATCTCCTGCCCCCGTCCCCTGCAGAGCAATCAGGCCCACGACATGGCCGTTGTCCTCCCCCGGCTTGTCAATCCGTGTGTCGCCCACCAATTCCGCCGCACGGTCCCTGTTCACCTGCCTGGAGAGTTGCTCCTGCAGGTGGCCCTTTCCCTCCCTCTTCTGCCCGGCTTCTTTCAGAATCTCCCTCGCCGTTTCTGGAAGCCTGTTCCTCAGGTCCCTTAGAGTGGTTCGTCCCCCGCTCCCCCCCCCCATCCTCATGCGGCGACAGCAGTGCCGCCACTCGTTGTAGGGGGTGGTCCTTGGTGACGGCTCCCTGCAGCAGTAGTGACTGCGCCACGTGAAGGGAAGCCAGGAAGGCCGCTGGCGCCTCCGAGAGCGGGTCCACCAATCCCAGTCCTCCCAAGGCAATCGGCAGTGACGCCTGCCTCCACACCAGGCTCTGCTCTAGCTCCTTGGAGGGCGTGTGCAGGTGGGCCGCCTTGAGTGCTGTCCATAGAAGCCTCTCGCTCCATTCCCTCCATTCGCGCAGTGGGAGCACGTCCGCGGGTGTTGTACGGAGCAGGTAAGAGACCCTTCGTGAAATACACCGAGATAGCAAGAGGAGGGCGTGTTGTGGGTGTAGCTTGCCGATGAGGCCGAGTGGTGCCGTCGTCGACTCCAGTGTTGCACGCACTATCCGTCTGCTGTAGGCCATCGTACCGATCGGGCTCCCCAGGACTTTGATCCCATCCACCGCCGCCACCAGACCTTCCGGGAAGTTCCCGGTGTTTCCCGACGGGCTCCACACCGTAGATTTAGCCAAGTTGCACCGCAGGCCTAACCCGCAAAGTTCCCCGCAGATCATATCCAGCGCCCGTGTTGCTTCAACTGGGTCGCCTATGACCGTGATGTCGTCCGCATACGCCATCACGGTCACGGTAGGGACCGCTATCGCCGTCATAAGGATTGCCGGTTGAATAGCCGCCGCGAATAACGCCGGACCGAGCGGGTCTCCCTGCCGAACTCCCCGCGCGCTGTCGATTGACGCCGTTTCGAAACCATAGTCGAGGAGCAGCTTCGACGGTCTGCCGTAAAGTGTGCGGACGAACGGGAGTAGGTTCACCAGGCTTGTCCAGCGCATAGATTCTAGGAAACACCCGCGTTCCACCGAGTTGAACGCATTCTCGATGTCTAGCTGGAGCGCTATCCGGGACGGATCCTCCGCGAGTAACGTGCGCGCCGTGTGGATGATGCACTCTGCCCCTCCTGGGACAGCCACGCCAAACTGAACTGGTAAGAAGTACGTGCGGATCTCTGCCGACAGTTCCTTAAGCACCGCCTTAGCTGTAAGGCGAAGTATCGCCTCGCCGATAGCTATCGGTCGCACGCCTCCCCCAGGCTTATCGAGTGCTATCAGTCTTGCGGGCAGGAGGAGGTCCTGCAGTTGCTCGTTCTGGTAAGTGCCAAGCAGGTGATTCACCGTTCTGTGCAGTAGGGTGAAAATCTCCCCGTTCGTTAGGGTTGGATCACGGAGGTGTTCGAAACACGTGCCAGACGGGCCCGCCCCGATTCCCTCCGGGCATTTCGCCAACACCTCGCGGAAGGACTCTGCACTGATGGCGAGCGATGAAGTGGTGTAACCTCCCGCCCCTGCGGGAATCGCCGACTCCGCATCTGGGTGCTTCGAGCGAAGTGCTTGCAGCGTCGCTAGCGATGGTTCCGCCAGTGCTGTTGTTTGTGACGCCGCCACAGCCTTCGCGAGGTTGGCCTTCCGGACCAAACCCTCAGCCCTGGCGCAAATGCCTTCTGGGTCGGGCTCGTGTCTGCTGGGTTTGGAATTTGCGGGGAAGGTGCTGGCCTGCAGGTAAAGGGTGTCCCATTCCTCCTCTCGGAACTGTCGAAACCGCTTCTCCACCTCTGCCCATCTGTTTCCTGGCACTTTCTCTAGGCTCGCCCTAAGTGTCAACCTCGGGAGATATTGGAGGAGTTGGGGTGCTTTGACAGCCTCAGGAGCGGGAGTGTTAAACAGCGGCAGAATGCATTCAGAATTTCGGGCGGGAGTTTCCGAACCAAAAAGGGTTGGGCACTGGATTGGAGTGGTCCCAGGTCCCATGCGTGAATCCTCTGCCAGATGTCCTCATCGTCCACGACCACGCTAAGATCGCGTTCCTTGGTGGCAGCCACGTTGGGCTGCTGCGGTGCAGATTCCCCCACGTCAGCCCTTCCCTCCCTCCTCCCCTGTCCAGAGCCTTGTCCTCCTTCTGTGGCTGGGATGGGTACCCCCTGTTCGGCATCTAGAGATTCTTCCTCTGAGTCAGCCTCTTGTGAGGCCATATATTCTGACCCCTCTTCCCCTTCCCCTTCATTCATTGGACCTTCACCCCGCTCCTCTGGCCTCCCGTGTCTTTCCCGCCAGTTTCCAGATCTGGCTTTCTCTCTCGCCACAGCCCCCGCCAGATCTCTGCGCGCTCTCCCCCCGTTCCGCCCCCTCCCTTGGCCTATCCCTGCCGCTCTTGGCGCCGCGTTTGTTGGCTGCAGTCCTGCCGCGCGATCGTCGGCTTGGTCCTGCAGCGCTCGCTGGCGGCTCGTGCCACTCCGCTGTCTTCGTTCCGCGGCCTCGCCGCGGCGTTCCAGAACATCTTTGAGATCCGCTCCCACCGTTAGATCTGCCACCGCACCCTGCGTCCCGACCGCCATAACTCCTGATGACGGGCAAGCGACGTCCTCCCCCGCCGCCGGTCCGTCCGGCAAGTCCTCTTGCTGCTCCCATCCCGCAAGGGGTCCAGGGCGGGCAAGTCCCAGCCCTGCTCCGAGCCGCCGCGGATGTAGTTGCGGCCGGGGTTGGCGGCGCTGTCGCCCAGCCTCCTCCTCCCTCACCGGCTCCTCGCCAGCCGATGTTCCGGTTTTCTCGAGGACGGGCACCTCCCCAACGACGGCCTCGCGGGCAATCCTTCCGCCGCCGCCGCCCACCTCGTCCCCAGCGCCAGTATGGGCCGCCGGCGTTCCGACCACTGGGTCAGTCCCCTCCAAACCAGGCTGCGCAGTCCCAGCCATTGCAGCTCCCGCCCCCAATGTCCCAGTCTGTGACGTCGCTGCAGCAGACTTCGTTGGCGTCGGGGACGGCCCTTCAGCCGGTGGCACAGTCAACTGCCTCTGCGTCTGTGCCCCCGCCGCCGCAGCCGTCGCCGCTGGCACCGGCGGAGACCCCAGCGCCGCCGCTGCTGCAGCCGATCGTGTCCGCGCCGCCCCAGACGGCGCCTCCTGTACCAGTTGCGCTTCCCGTCGCTCCTCCTCAGCCGCTTGTTGAAGACCCTGCTCCGCCGGCGCTACTCCCTTGGCAGCAACCCCAACGTCAGCATCCCCTCGTGCCAACCGTCCCGCAGACTGCCTTCCCGTTCCCCCCTCCCCGTCGCCCCTACCCCCGTGGATGGGATTCGCCTGAGCGTCCACTTACCGCTCCTGATCCCGACCCTCACTGGGACCCTTACCCACCTTGGGGCGTGCAGCCGGACCTGGACGTGTGGGGCCGGCAGTGGGGAGAGGAGCCGAGCTACTTCGACCTTTGCCGGTGGGAGCAGCGGATGCGCGGTGTAGGACGTTGTTTGTCGAACGTGGCGACGGTGATGGAGCAGCTGAACCACGCGATTGGGCGGCGGAACCTTGCCTCCCGGAACCCGCAGCTGAGCGAGTTCGAGCAAGGGGTGGTGAGGGAGGCCGCTGCTCAGGCGAGGTCGACGATGCTGGGCCTGCCCCTTGAGCCTGAAGACCCGTCGCTGGGAGAGGGGCCTGGTGCAACTGCTTTCCGCCAGGTAGCCAGGGCAGCCGAGGAGGCGCCACTTGAGATTGTCCCCGCACTCGCGTGTGCGCTCCGCTGGATGGATCGGCGGATGTTCCTGATTGCTCCCTCCCCTTAGACGGTGCTGCACCCGCTGCCGCCTTTGTTTGTTGTTTCTTCCTCCCCATAGCTGGGGACTTACCTTGCCTGTAGGTGTGGTAGGCAGTTACCACTGCATGGTGTAACCCATGCCCTTATAGTGCTTTTCCCCTTGATGTCCTTGCCACCCCAAACGCGCGGCCGAAGGCCCCGCTGTCGAGCGTCGGCCGCCGAAGGCGGCCGGCGCGAGCCGCCGATTTTTTGGAGAGCAGAATGAGCTCACCAGTGAATAATGAGGAGGAGAGGGGTGACTTAGGCCTTATATACTAGGGAACTAGTCAAAAAACGGCTAAGGACTAGACTAGGCTAAGAAACTAGGCAAAAAAACTAGGCTAAAAACGGCTAAGGACCAGAGCCCAAGGCTCTCTCTCTCTCTCTCTCTCTCTCTCTCTCTCTCTCTCTCTCTCTCTCTCTCTCTCTCTCTCTCTCTTCTTGTGTTTTCGTTTCTTGTTCCTACTTCCCCCTTTTTTTCTGCTTGCAGAAAGCGACTATCACGGGGACATCGCGCTCGATCGGCTGATCGCTCGCTTGAGTGCTCCTCACGCTGGTTGTCGCGTTGCTCAGCACTGGCGTGGCGCCGTCGATCAAGTTCACCTCGCGCGCGCGCGCTCGCTCGCTCACGTGCATCTCACGCGCGCGCTCTCGCTACGGTGCACCTCGACGAGTGGCTTCGGCAGTGGCAGTCGCTAGTGGCGGCGGACGAGCTGGTGACTTTGCTGTCCGTTCGAGTGGCGCCGGGCGCACCGGGGTTCGACTTGCGATGGTTCAACACGAGGTGAGCTGGGGGCTAGCGCGAAGGGATGAGAATGAGGCGGCGGGGAGGGAGGGGAGGGGGGGAGAGGGGGAGAGGGGGAGGGGGAAGGAGGGAGGGGGGAGGGGGAGGTGGTATGACTTGCGTGCAGTTGCTTTTTTTTGTTTCTCGTTTTGTTATTGCAGTCGACTTCTTGCAGGTCGTTTGTTTTCCATTGCAGGATGCTTTTATGTTTTTACTTTCAAGATAAAGCTCTTTCTGGTAAGATATTATCACGTTTTTACATTGCATTCACATTTACTCTCATTGTGCAGGCCCCATGATCTACAGCAGGGACCGATTTTCCTTCTGAGGTAGTTGGTGCCTTGTGTGGATAAGATGTAGTCTGTTTTTGTGTTTAGAGTGTAAATTGATCCACTAAAGCTGAATTCAGCAAAGAAACTCACAAATGATAAGGCAGCAAATTGTATGGAAATGCAGAGCTATGATTATCTGAACTGTGGCTTATATATATTAGAATCTATACCAACAAAAGGTTTCTCACCATCTAATATATTTTCTGGATATACGAAATTGATTAAAAAAAAAACCGAATGTTTCAACCAGCAGATATAGTGGAAGTGTATTTGTGTTTTATACAATTTATTGCTACAGTCACTATGATAAATATTTTATCGAGCGAAATGGTCGCACGCGTGGCGTACCGCAACCAATTGCATCGATTCCTACCGATGTGGAAAACCAATGAACGTAGTCGCCGAACTAAATTTGAAAAGCACTCGACCACTCGTGTAAGTTCCCGAACCAGGCAAACGTTACTTGACGATTGGTTCCGAAACTTTGGGGAGAGAACTAGGCGCGGTCCGCTCGAAAGCATCATGACCGGCATTCCCAGAGATACCTTTCCAACAACAACCACAAAGCAACCCCGCGAGTATGTTCGGAGTAGGATTTTGGCTCTGGTTTTTTTCGGATGCCATGCTCGCGTGCCATCCTTCTGTTATGTTTAATGCACCTCACACGGGAATGGGCGCAGTCGCACTCCGAGCATTGACCGCTCATTGACATGTCCCTTGTTCCCCCCATCCTCGCAGCGAGTCGCCTGCAGCCGTCGCATGCAGCAGTCGCAGAGGCGACGAGCGGGGAGGCCCAAGTTGGCACGCAGATGACGATCAACGGCCTCTCTTTCAGCCGTCGCAGGCTGCAGCCGTCGACGAGCGGGGATGACGTTGGCACGCGGATGACCATTGGCCCCTCCTACTCCTTCAACCCGAGCCGCTGTGTCGCCATGCCACCTGGCTATAGAACGAGGAACCTGCTGGTGTGGTGGCAGCAGGAAGGCAAGGCGGATTGTACAGCGATTCAGTTCTTCCCGAGTCCCACGTGCACGGGGAGGGTGATGGACACTCTCGCGCAAGGCCAGTAGAGGTGAGCCCTTCGTTGTCTATGTATCTGCTTCCATGGTCTTAACGCCATTCCGTGATTCCCCACCTGACCAGCGACGTTGCTCTCATGGTGCCTCCCCGTGCAGATCCAGGCCCCTCCGCAATGGAGTCAGGTTTGCCCGCTGCATCATTGGTGCCACCCAAAGCGCAGCTCCTCCTGAGTACCCCGACGAAGAGAGTTCAAGCAGTAAGCCTCAATGCTGTTGTTCGCCATGCACCATCCATGCTCGCCTAAACCGATCTAGTTCCATGCGAGGGGGATATGTTGGTGTTGGCATCACTTGTGCCCCTGGGAAGCACCACTGCCTGATCGAAGCATTTCAGTACTGGCAGCAACGAAGCTCCTCGTCTTCTCTGCCCTTTCCTGTCCCCCAGTTGTATCCTCCTTGCGAATCCAGTGCTTGCCATCCTTTGCTCTTTGCGTGTGCCCCCCGCCAGCGGGCTTTTGTGGCGACGACAGAGTCACCCCGTGTATGGGGGGCACGTGCATCGACCGTGGCAACAACATGACCTGCGTCTGTCTGCCCAACCGTCGCTCTCATGGAAGCTCCTGTGGTAAGCCCTCCCTCTGGTCTTTACTGTGAACATTCGTTTACACATTCAAATTCAAGGTGGTGTTTTCTTGGACAATGGCAGATCAGGGTTGGGAGGCCGTTTCGTCCATCACAGTCGCAGGCAGCGACTGGAGGTGCAAGGACGTGTACACCGTGTATGGCCTCACGCTGCAGCAGTTCACCCACATGAACCCGGTGAGCCCTGCAACAGCTCATTCTGCCACATGCTGCGCCGAACCACCTCAATTCATGCAAGCTGTGCGCATTTATTAGGCATATCGATCCATTATTGTTTCTGTACCCCCTCGACCTCTCACCCTCCCCCTCTCCTTCCTCCGCCTCTCCTCTCGCTCACCGTCTTTCTCGCTCATCCCCTCCCTCTCTCATCCTCTCCCTCCCCCTCTGCTCCACTGTCTCCATCTCCCTCACCCTCTCCCTCTCCCACTGCCCCTTCCCTTCCAGGATATCAATTGCTCCGCTCTCCTTCCTCAGGGTCGCGACCTCATTGTGCAAGAGCTTCTAGAACCTTGCTCTGCCTTCTACTACACCCAGCTTGTGAGTCTCACATGTTGCTACTCCTATGGGAGCATCCCGTGCATCACGTATGGATGCCACCATGTGCTGACATGTGCTGTGCTTCCTCTTCACCCTTCACTCTCCCCCTGACCATCCTTCGCCCACGTAGCAGGAAGACCACGTGCCACTCATTCCTTTCTGCACCTTAGCGTTCCCAGCGTTCCACTACCTCTGTGTTGCTGCATCTTCTTTCACCCCCTTTGACCACCTCGTTCCTTCTCAAACCGCTTCCTTACCATTTTCCCTTTAACTTCCGCTTCTACAGGCCGACACGTGCTCGTCTGTGGCCCAGTTTCTCGACATCACCGAGGAAAGCCTGGAGGAGCTCAACCCCGGTGTTGGCTGCTCCTCTCGCCTCCTTGCGTTCCGCCCTCTGTGTGTGGAGCGCGACCCAGCCAAAACCAAGCCGAGCTGTGAGAATGTGATAGAGATCGGCAAAGTCGAGGACTTCCAGCAGGTGGCGGCATCCAATGGAGCCACCATGGTGGACCTCTGCAGGCTCAATCCCTAGCTCTCCTTCCGCGATTCGAGGGGCGAGGTTGATTATGTAAGTTTAGGCAAACAACTGAGTAGTTGCTGGTTGTGCATTACTGGTGGATACATATTCTATCTGTACGTAGATACATTTCGTAAGACGAATAAATCCCCATTTGGCCTCATCTACATGCGTGCAGCATAATTTGTAGCTTCTTATGATTCCAGTCCTTGATTCCTGTGTGTTCCATAGCAACTGGTGCATCTTCTTTTGCCGCTTTGCGTGGCTGCCCATTACGCTACACCTCCTGCCAGCGACACCCCACCTTCCAGCGACACCCCACCTTCCAGCGACACCCCACCTTCCAGCGACACCCCACCTTCCAGAAACACCCCACCTTCCAGCGACACCCCACCTACTCCCACCACAGCTTCTCCCAGAGAGACCACACCTCCCAGCGACACCACACCTCCGAGCGACACCACACCTCCCAGCGACACCACACCTCCCAGCGACACCACACCTCCCAGCAACACCACACCTCCCAGCGACACCACACCTCCCAGCGACACCACACCTCCCAGCGACACCACACCTCCCAGCGACACCACACCTCCCAGCGACACCACACCTCCCAGCGACACCACACCTCCCAGCGACACCACACCTCCCAGCGACACCACAACTCCCAGCGACACCACACCTCCCAGCGACACCACACCTCCCAGCGACACCACACCTCCCAGCGACACCAAATCTTCTTCTGAGTACCCCGACGAAGAGACTTCAAGCAGTAAGCCTCAATGCTCTTGTTCTCCATCCCACTATCCAATCTCGCCTACCTATCTGGTTCCCACGCGAGGGGGCTAGGTGGGGCGGGCATCGCCTGTGCCCCTAGGGAAGCACCATTTCAGTACTGGCAGCAGCAATGCCCTTCTCTGCCCTTGCCTGTCCCACGGATATTCCAAATTGCATCCTCCTTGCCACTTCAGTGCTTGCCAACTTCTGCTTCTTGTGTGTCTCCCCTGCCAGCGAGCATATGTGGCTACTACATACTCAACATTTGTTCGGGGGGAACGTGCATTGACCACGGCATGGAGGCTGGACCTGCGTCTGCCGGCCCAACCACCGCTCTTATGGCAGCTCCTGTGGTGAGATCTCATGGCTACAACTGTGGTAACCTCGCTCTCTGCTGGCAATGCTTCACACAATAGTGTGTACTGCGAGCACTTCACACATGTGTTTCCCGGATCAGATGTGTTGCTGTGACGGAGTATGGCGAACTCGTATCATCCGTGGCTGATCGGTGACTCATCCATGGCATTATCACCCTTCCCGTGGAGCGTGTACAGATCTGGATTCGAATGCCATTTCGTCCATCACAGTCGAAGAAGGCACCTAGAGGTGCAAGGACGTGTACACCATGTATGGCCTCACGCTGCAGCAGTTCACCGACATGAACCCGGTGAGCCCTGTAACCTGCCACATGCTGCGTCGAACCATCTCAATTCCTGCAAGCCTGTGTGCACTTGTTGAGCATGTCAAGCCAATCTTGTTTCGGTGCCTTATCTCCCACCCTCTCTTACTCGCTCCCACTGCTCCATCTCCCTCACCCTCTCCTTCTTCCTCATTGCCCCTTCCCCTCCAGGATATCGACTGCTCCGCTCTCCTTCCTGAGGGTCGCGCGCTCGTGGTGAAAGAGCTTCTGCCACCTTGCTCTGCCTTCTACTACGTCCAGCCGGTGAGTCTCACATGGTGCTCCTGCTCTGGGAGCATCCCATCCAATCACGTATGGATGGCGGGGATGTTACCAGTGTCACCATGTGCCGCAATGTGTTGTGCTTCCTCTTCCCCCTTCACTCTTTGCCTGACCATCTTTCGCCCAAGCAGCAGGAACACCACGTGCCACTCAGTCCTTTTTTTCCCCCTAGCGTTGCCAGCATCATCGTTCACCCCCTTTGACCACCTATTCCTTCTCAAACCGCTTCCTTACCATTTTCCCTTTCCCTTCCCTTCCACAGGCCGACACGTGCTCGTCCGTGGCTCAGTTTCTCGACATCACCAAGGAAAGCCTGCAGCAGCACAACCCCGGTGTTACCTGCCCCTCTCGCCTCCTTGCGTTCCGCTCTCTCTGTGTGGAGCGCGACCCAGCCAAGGGCATACCGAGGTGTGAGAATGTGATAGAGACCGGCAGCACTGTCGAGTTCAAGCAGGTGGCGGCATCCCATGGACTCACCATGGTGGACCTCTGCAGGATCAAGCCCTCGATGGCCTTCCGTGATGCCCTGTACGACACTCAATCTGTGAGTTTGGGCACATTTATAGCTTCTCTCATGTTATGGGTGAACTGGTCTGAATGCTTAACTGCAATGCACTGTCGACATATGTTCTAGCAATCAATATTTCCAGTGCTTCCCCTTTGGTGCCCCCTTTTATGCAGATTTGTGTGGCTGCCTCCTATGGGTGAGCACTGCTCCGCAGGCTCATGTGTCCAAGACCAATGGAGCCCCAGTTCGGAGCCAAGGGGGCATTACGCTTACCATTGTAGCTGTTGCTTTTCAATGATCTGGATGTTGTGCCAGAGACGTAACTTGCTTGGATGGACCTTTGCTGCGTTTGCCTCTCGATATTTGTTGTATTATGGTCATTTTTGTTGTTGGTTTTTGTATGTTTGTTTTCTCGTGTGTGTGTGTGTTTTTATCCTTTTTATATTTTCATGTAGTACATGGCCAGCGAGGTGTTATTTCACGAGTAAATCTCCTGATAAGCATGGTTCAGTTTCCCCAAAGGGCCTCAAAGTCTGTTCGGATTTTTTTATTTTTGGGGGAGAATGGTGGGGTGGGAGCTTATAATATGAAGTATTGGTACTGTATTCTACCGGCTATAGGACCCGGGGGACCCAGGAGTTTTTGAAGTCCCAAGTACACTTACTTGTCTATTGATATTATTGGATTTCCCATGTACTGTTCTGTTAGCGGGTAGGGGGTTGGGGGGGGGGAGGGGGGAGGACATTTATTTTGCACATCCAAATCTCTCGCTTGGAGCACCACGCGTGTGACGTCGCGAATGACACGTGTCGAGCTACAAGGCACGACGACGGATTGTACCTCACATCACCTTGACTGAACGGTTCGTCTAGGTGGCCACGTCATGGTGCCCCTGAGCACCCCATCCTTTCACAAGGGTGGGACATGCACTGGACGTGGTGCTCAAGGAGGTTCACGTCCCGCAGTCAGCCGAGCACGCGAATTACTGCTCACACATAGTTCCAGATATAGCATCCCACCGCTCTGCAAGTAGGTCTGCCTTAGAAATTGGTAGCGAAAGTCTTTGGTGGTAGGAACCTTGTGCATGGTAAATGTAGATGACAAGATTGATCAAAAGAGAAAATTACACACAATAAATAGATCTAGCTAGCCATGTACTCTAAGGGGTACATTCCCTTACTATAACTGTTTTACAGGCATTTCTACAGTAACCCCGACTCTTGCTATTCTCTTGTTACCGGTTTGCTGCATGTAACTGTGCAGACAGTTACGCCTGTTGCCATTCTTCGTGTGTAACCATTCGGTCCAGATGGTCAACAGTCGCGTTAGTTGACTAGCGACTGTTGACCTTCCTGCCCTTCATGGGGTGATCCGATACTACTGCTGTTGTTGCTTCGGTAGTTGCGGGTGCGTTATAGCTGCACCTTCAAGAATGCTAAAGTTCATTCCCGCTTCCTCCAACACCCCCCTTCATACTTGGAGGTGCGCCACGTGGTTCTTCTTGACGACTCCGCACAGGTCCGCACACTTCTGACGTAGCAGTTTCTTTGTCAGAAAGTCAGCTGCCATTTTGCCAGCTGGGCAGTAGGTGAGCTGGACCTTGCCCTTGTCGATTTCATCTTTGACGAAGATGTAACGTAGGGCGATGTGTTTCGTGCGGTTGACAAAGTCGGGCTTGTTCGCGATCTTGATCGCGCTCTGGTTGTCGCACAGTAACTTGAATGACCCGTTCATCGCCATCTTTGTTTCCTGTAGGCGCTTCGTGAGGTAGAGTCCTTCGCAAACCACTGCATTTGCTGTGATGAACTCGACTTCTACTGACGAAAGGTCGATCAGCTCCTGCTTCTGTGAGTTCCAGGAGATGGTTCCCGCATGCTCGACCTTGAAAATAAACCTGTGCGGGACCTCCTGTTATCTGCGTCCCCTCCGTGATCAGCGTCCACGTAGCCGGTAAGCTGTATAGTAGCCCTTAGGTTCACCTTGTAGGTAAGGCCGACGTCAGGCGTAGAGATGAAGTACTGTAGGGTGCGTCGTAGGTCCCCATGTTCTCCCCTTCAGGTTTGCGCAGGTACTGGGCGAGCTGGCTAGCGGCGTACGATAGGTCCGGGCGGCGTGTGACGGCGGCGAAGAGCAGACACCCGAGTTGCTGCTGGTAGAAGCGATGGTCGGCAGCGGATAGTGGGGTGGTGTCGGGCTCGTGGTTAGGAGGAGGGATGCGGAAGGGAGTTGTGATGCCGATGTGATGCCGACCTTCTTAGCAAGTGTCTCGGCGTACTTTGCGGCGGACAGATGGATCGTGTCGGCCGATTGCTTCACGTTGAGGCCCAGAAACTGGGTGACGTTGTGATTCACGGTCGCCTCGAGCTTCTGTTTGATGTTGCTTACGAAGCGATCGAGTAGCTCTCCGTTGTCCCAAAAGAGAACAGGTCGTCCACGTAGGCGACGAGCAGGATGAAGCTGCCGCGGGACTCGAGACGGTACATCCCCTAATCGTGGTGAAGCTGCTGGAATCCGAGCTCGACAAGCACGGTGTGGAGGTACTGTTGCCACAGGCGTGGTGCCTGCTGGATCCCGTAGAGGGATTTCTGGAGGAGGCATTTCGGAAACCTCCTCACGGCCTTCCTGTTTCCCTCTCTGGTGGTCCAGTTCTAGCTGCCATCTTCTCCTGTCTGACGGTTCCTCACCTTTTTTCTCCTTCTCCCTCCCCCCCCCCAGTGATGCCCTTAGCCTTCTCACCCCACTTTGTCCTTGCCCTTGCCTTTGTCATGCCTCTGTTCATACCCTTCCATGATCAAACCCTTCCTAACTCATATTGACTGCGGCTATGGCTTCGTTGCAAACTGCTTATCTCAGAAAGAAATTACATTAATTCACGAAAACAAACACGCAGTGGCAGTCCCATGGCCCAAGACACAACCATATGCTTCCCAACACAAACCCTAGCTAGGCAACTCTAACAATCGGTAGTTGTTACATCTGCCTAGCTAGCCATCCACACCATCACTTTCCCTGCCTCTAGCTGGCGATATTGCCTTCCAGCTCCCTCCTGGACTCGGTGTCTGCAAAAGAAACGAAACACCCGCATGCACACCACACCCCAACATTTGCACGCACACCCATACACGTCATCTCGCTGCCACCCAGCTGCCACTCCACCCTCCCAGCTCAGCCCGCTGCCCAGATTCATTAATCCACTTGGTGCTGCCCCTCCCACTGCCGAGTTGCCCGCCCTGTTTTGCCACTGCCTCTGTTGTACCTCGCTGTCAGATGCTCCGGTTATGTACAAATGTACAAGTTCTCCACACCACGCCCTTCTCTACACCCTCTGTCAGTACTTCTTAGGCGTAAACCTTCGAATTCTGACAGCTGTCGGAAACCTCCTCACTGCCTTACTGTTTCCCTCTCTGGTGGTCCAGATCTAGCTGCCATCTTCTCCTGTCCGACGGTTCCTCACCTTTTTCCTCCTTCTCCCTCCCCCCCCCAAGTGATGCCCTTGGCCTTCTCACCCCACTTTGTCCTTGCCCTTGCCTTTGTCCTGCCTCTGTTCAGACCCTTCCTGCCCCCTCCCATGGTGCATTGCAGCCGTCCTCGAGCACGTCATGGGACCCGAGGGTCCTGCCTTCTCCTTCTCAGTGCGAATCCTGGCCACGTTGGTCACGTGGTCTGCCACGCGCTTACCCTTCCCATCTTCCAGGACTATAACTCCAGATGGCTTCACTTCCTTCACGGTCCATCGTTGCTGAGACAGACCCACATCCAGCGCATGCTTCCGCTGCCTCCTCAGGTACACCTCCTCTTCCTCCTGTACCCCTGCCCTTGCTCCCTTTCCGCCTGCCTCCTGCCGCTGCTTGTACCACTCGATGTCCCGAAGCTGCGCCACGTGTAGATTCTCCATTGCTGCTGGTAACAGGTGCCGCAGATAAGCCGCCCGCGCATCTGCCACCGCCACCCACTTCTCCGCCGAGCCCGTGGTCACCACATCTAGCAGAAGCTTGGGATCTCCCGCCGGCATTACTGGTTCCTTGCCGAACAGCAGGTAGTACGGCGATACATCTGTCAACGCTGCCTGCTTACTGAACCGGTACCCCGCCATCACCCAGCAGAGTTTCCTGTCCCAGTCCCGCTTGTGCTCTTCCCCATAGGCCCTTAACCCCTTCTTCACTGTCTGCACCAGTCTCTCCGTCAGCCCGTCGCTCTGCGGGTGATAGCGTGAGGTGCTGCGATGCCTGATGCCTGTGGCCTTCAGCAGCTCCTCAAACGCTCCCTTGAACTCCGTTCCCTGGTTCGTCAGTACCTCTCCACATGCCCCCAGCCGTGTGACCACCATCTCTTCAAATGCCTCTGCTACAGCTTCTGCCACCTGGTGGCGGCACGTGCTTCCAACCCTCCCCTGTCCGCAGCTGCACCTGCCCCTTGAACCAGCGGTAGTGTTCACCCCTTGCACGTACTCTGGCGGGTGCTGCCCCCTCCTCCGTTGTCGCCCCCTGGATCCACGCCAGGGCTGCCTGATCTTCCCAAATGTCCGCGGGGCCTCCTTTCATCTCCCCCCACGCTTGTCCCCGGTCTGCTTCCTTCGCCATTGCCATCAGACAAGCCGACGGCTGCACCTCCGGCGGGTTCCTCGAGAGGCTGTCGACATGCTGCATCGTTTTGCCAGGCCGGTGCTTGATCTCGAAGTCGTATTCTTGTAACTTCATTGCCCACCTGACATTACGCCCCATGAGATCCGGCGTCTGCATCAGCCACAGCAGCGGCTGATGGTCCGTCACCAAGATGAACTTCCTGCCGTGCAAGTACACCCGAAAGTGCTTCACCGCCCACACTACCGCCAGCCCCTCCCCTCGTATGACGAGTAGTTGGCTTCCGCCGCGTTGCAGCTACGGCTGGCGAAGGCCACTACCTTTTCCACCTCCCCCTTCATCTGTGCCAGTACCGCCCCCATGCCCGCGCTGCTCCAGTCTGTGTACAGCGTGAATGGCAAGTCCGCTTTCGGCAGTTCCAGTACCGCTTCGTTCTTCACTGCTCCCATGAGATCCTGCACTGCCGTCTCCTGCTCCAGGCCCCATTCCCACTTACGATCCTCCCTCAGCAGTTGGTTCAACACGGCTGCCCGGCTGCTGAAGTTGGGCACGAACTTACGATAGTAATTCAGAAAACCCAACAGTGCTCGCAGCGTGGTCCGGTCCTTCGGCGTGGCCACCCGATCCGACACCTCAACCTTCGCCTTCTGAATCCCAATCTTTCCCCCTTCTACCTCGAACCCCAGGTATTCCACCATGGTTTGCCCGAATTTGCACT